TTCACTACGGGGAAGGAAACCACTTAGAGCACTGAGGCCGCAGAGAGGCTGACCAGCTACGTGAGCTTGGATAAGCCCCAAAAACTGCTCTACAGGGAGAATATCCTCAGCATGAACAGAGTAGCTGATTTCACATACTCAAGCCAATCAGCTCTCCCGCCCCTTCCCATCCTCCCATATCAAACCATCACCATCACTCAAATCTTGCATTTACTTTGGCCTTCAAAGAATGTTCATCCTCTGGCACCTTTGCATGCACAGCCTTCATCTTCTTAGGAAACCTGACGTTTGATGGTCCAGGTCTGCTGGTGCAACCAAAAGGACCTTTAATATTTGTAGTGTCTTGTACTGAACAAGTATGTGACATCCCTATGTGACAGGGCACACAGGACTTTGACATAGTTGTAGAGCCGTTTGTCTTTAGGGTAAGGCACAGGGTTCTTCGATCTTTCCTTGATTCCAGGATGTGTGATGTGAGACCTCGGACATCAGCAGTATCTCCCAATCAATGTGGCATCTCATTACTGGATGTGGGCCTGGGGTGAGGCAGGTCATCTAGAAGACTGTACAGCTTTGTTGAAACAGGTGGGGTTTGACTGTGGGGCATGGCAGTCCCTGCTTGCATTTCTTCTGACTCACACTGATGTAGTCCGAACCCAAAGAGCAATGCTATATATGTAGCCAGGCCTCCTGCTCTGAGTTTTCATCTCCACCTAGGGTCGGAGTTGAGCCAGGTGTTTTTTGCTCTCTCTTCTGCACGGTGGCACTGTCTCTCCTTCATCCTCTCACTGCGTAGTATCTCCTAAGAGACTGCCCATCACAGATTTTTTCCTTTAATTGTCCATAAAATAGTCATGCATCATAAGATTGTGGGGTTTTTTTTATATTTGGTTAAAATAGTTTCCATTACAGTTATTATATGTGATACTTTAAATGACCCAGCTTGCTAATTAAGAAAAGGATGGGATTCTAAAGATTGACTTTATTAGATTAAAATCTAGTCTGTGCTGCCTGCTGAGAATTTCTCTTTCAACACCAGCACAGAACCGACTAGTGTCTTCTGGTGATCCTGTGAATAAAGGCGGAAGGAACTCCTCAACACGCCAAAGACCCACTGCTTCCATTCTTCCTCAGCCCCTCTACACTATATACACTCCCGGTCTCTCTCCCTTAGTTTTCCTACCATTCCCCTCTCATCATAGAAGGCTGCTTGATGGCGCCATGGGGGAGACCTCTCTCCCCGATTTGCTTAGCTGCCCACAGCCCCAGTGTCCTCCACACACAGTTTCCTCCCCTAAGAGCAACTCTCTCCCCCTCCCAACCTCTTCCCTCTCTCCCTCCTTCCTTCATTTTTCTCCCTCTGTCTCTCTCCCTCTTTCTCTGCAGGCCTTACAGTACTGCCTAGTTCTCTTTTATAGCTTAGGAACCAGCTGAAGTTCTAGAGTTGTAGAACTCTTGATTAATGCTAGAATCTGTCGCTCAACTGAGAACTCAGAGGAGTCAGAAACCCGGCTTGATATTACTTAACACCACATCCCCAGACTCAAGCCAGCTGTTTGGAAACTGGCAGGTGCCTGCTACCTAACATCTGAACGGATGGATGAACTGGGTACCACCCGCCCCCTCAAGCAGAGAGTAAGTTCCTAAAGTCCAAGCAGTTACGGGAATCAGGAAGAGTGGCAGACCCACCAGAAGGCTCCCACTTTTACCACCAATGTGACACAGGTGAGGTCACGTTCTTTCTTCGATTTCTCTCTAACCTGGGAATAATATTTAATACAAATATCTGATGGATGTTTTGTGAGGTACTTAAAATGATAGCTTGCCCCCAGGCCCAAGCTTCTAGCATCATGTGGGGTCCAGAGACTATACTCTGTGCTATCTGCATGGATGAATTGATTGGCCTTCCTCCTAGGAAAGGGAAATGACATCACAAAATCCTCATGCTGCTCAAAGTTTTGGAGCTAGAAGAGCCCAATGAGCCTTATGCTTTCCAAAGCTCTCTGGGATTTCCCCAACCTCAGTGTGCTCTGGCCAAGGAAATAAGAGTAAATACCTCTATGCTATGTGCCTCTTGTCTTCATCCTCAGTGTAGAGTCAGGCCCTTAGCCTCTGGGACCTGAAGTTTAAGACTGAGGTGGACATCTTACAACTAAGCCTCACTAAACTTCTTCTCCCTACCTCGCCTCAAATATGGGCACCCTGGGTTTGCAACTGGCTAAGAACAATCCTCTGTCATTCTCCTCTGCGTCAATTTCTTCGTTGGTTACAGGGAAGGGAATAATAGTAATACTGTCATTCACTTCTCAGCTCACAGAGCCCAGCCCCATCCCGAGAGAGGGTCCTGTATATCCCAGGCTGGTCTTTAACTGAGCCCCCATCCTTCTGACTCTTCTTAAGTACCAGGGACAGAGGTGTACTCCACCAAGCCCAGGGCTCTGTGGAAGCTAGGCAAGCACTCTAGAAACTGAGCTATAGCCCAGGCCCTTATCTCACAGAGTTCTTTAAGGACCCAGCAAGGTCACAGGCACAAAGACTTGATGAGTCAGAAGACAATTCAGAAGAAAGCTAGTATTTTCTCTGTGTATTTTAAAGCCCTGACTCTGTAGCAGAAAAGTACCCTGCTGGGCAAGTTATTCTTAGTTATGTCAAACATTACCCAAGATCTTCACGCATACGGCATGCAGATGGAATGTGAGAGGTGAGCTCATCCATCATCATTACCCACTTATGGAGTATCTCCTGGGGGCCGGCAGTCACCCCCAGAGAAGAGCATGCTGAGGGGATATACTTTCTCATCGTTTCCTCAGCTGCTTGGCCGGAGCCCTCTCAGAAAACTAGGCTGGTGAGGGAGGTGCAGGGGAAGTTGCTAACTAGCACCCCAGTGGCTGGGGAACTCTACACATGCCTGCAGGATACACCCAGCTGGACGCCCCAGGAGCAGGGAAGACATCCCGCTTCTACAAAGCACTGGTAACCACTAGATCCTGGCTCTCAAAGCTTCAAGCCGGCCAGGATTCCCTCCATGTGTGATCTGTTGAGCAGCTCTGACAGGGACTCACTGGTGTCTCCACGGAACATGGAGCCCAGGCCGTGGCCATCTGTGTTGCCACTCTCCAGCTGGAAGCTGCCCACAAGTTCCTGCATCCACTGGAGGTCTGCCGAGAGCTGCTGCCTCAGAGTCTCAAACTGCACCTTCAGGTGGTCTAGCTTCTTGGCCACACCTCCGAGGCTGGCCCCTGTGGCCCGGATGTCTTCTCTCAGGAGCTTCCTCAGGGACTCCACCTTGCGGAACTCATACTTGAGCTGGGACAGGTTATGGCGGGTATTCTCGCTCATTTCCCGGTACCAGGCCTCCTTCTCACTGTAGACTGAGACCAAGGACTCCACATCGTCCTGCAGGGTATCATGAGCTCCTACTAGGGCACGGCATCCCTTGTCCACCCGAGCCACATCCTCTACTACATGGGCAAAACGCTCAAAGTTGACATAAGTGTTGTTGGGGGGCATGCTTGAGTGGCATTTGAGGGTATACTCTCTCAGGCGTTTAGTCTTCAGCCGGGCAGGCTGTGTCTTCCATTGCTCGGGGGCTCTGGCTTCTCCTTTTGACTAGTAGGTGTTCGGACAGAAGAACCAGAATATTAACATAATGTGTGCTCCACAGGGCAGTCCAAGCTGCAGGCAGAAGGCAGACACATGGCCTCTTTGGCATTCGCTGCTCGAGTCAAGACATGGTAGAGAGAGCCAGGGTGAGGCTAGCAGCTCCTCCCAAACACACCCACAACACACAAGACCGTAAGAAACATTAGGGAATGTGGGGGTACTGCTTGCATGCTCACTCCGGGGCAGAGAGTTCTATGGCCACTAGGGAGGGTCAGCACACACAGAGAATGTAACAGTAGCTCACACAGACAAGCAGGGCTCGGCCAACATCCACTCAAGGGCTGAAACATGCAGGCTATGGCAGGCAAAGGAAAGCTGATTGTATCTGCCTTTCAGGACACCTGCAGCCTTGGCAAAACCCAGCATTCTCAGCAGAAAGGCGCCCAAGAGGCTCTCTAGCTTTGCGCTCTGGACACATCAAAACCTGGAAGATTATTGCCCTTCCCCGTCCTCCAAGGTGTGAATGAACTTGAACTTATCTCTGCTTCTGTGCTTCTTGTCTACACTTAGATCACCCCAGTGGGCCTCCTCAGTGGGCAAGGAAGGTAATCTGGAGCTCAAGAGGTAATGTTCAGGGGGCCATCCCATAGAACCAGGGCTGAAGCCTTGCTCCGAGTCCCACCGTCACTCCCAATGCGTGTCGCACCAGACTCTAAGACTCTGAAAACCAGTGGCCTTTCACTACCAGCAGAGCTGGATTCACTTTCTGCCTTGACCCCCCAGTAAGGAACAGGACTGTGCTAACAGAGGCTTGGCTTCTCTTCCCTGGCAGGTCTCTGTCTCGGGACCCAATTCCTGAGGTGACACAGTGCCTACGGAAGCTACATGACTGACTCGTACTTCATCCTTTAGTGAGAGCCTAGGAGCCAGGAAAAGAAATATACCTGATTACAGAGTCAAGGTTCTAGTGGCCAGAGATCTGTCTATAACCCAATTTTTTCATTGAAAAGTGAAGAGACATGACCCCAATAAAGAACATTTTATAAGACGGGCTCCAAAGAAAAAGTGTCTTCACTGAGTTCCACAATGGTTTCACTGGCTCTTTGAACCCACAAAATACAACCTTAAGGCAGCATAACCAATTTCATTTATTTATGTTTGTTTTTGTGCTTTTATGGCGCTCTGGGTAGAACTCACAGCCTCATGCAAGCGAGGCAAGCACTCTAGCACAGAGCCGGCATAGCCCTGTTTGAACAAGCATAGGCCCTTTGGGGACCCTTGACCAGTGCCCAAGATCAAGCAAAGGCCACTTAACAGCTGTTTGTATCAGACTGCCACAGCCAGCTCTGGTGGCAGAAGAGGGGCCTGCTCACTGGAACTCATTACCATGCCCTTACCGTGATCCAGGGATGTCTGAGCGCTTCTTGGATGGTAAGCCGTTTCCTGCGGTGAGGGTGAGCAAACAGAGATACTCCATGAGGACACTTGCTGGGAGGGCAGTCAGTGTCTCATCTTTTGGACATTCTTTGACCCTAGCGTCAAAGCATACAGATGCAGAGATGGCTGAAAACTGGCCACATTCCCAATACTCTTGGGAAAGTGATCCAGGAACAAGCCTCAGCAGGGAAAGCTCACTACCCCAGCCCTCAGCTTCAGTTCCAACAATGAAGGGCTTAACTGCCATCCCTCTAGTGAGCTCCCGGACTTCTCTGAAAGCCATTTCTTCAGGGACAGATCTCTGGGGTCTGTTTTGGTGTTTGCCTCCCAGGTCTCCCCCCATCCCTTTATTGCTCTACATACAGTAGGAACTCCAACCCCAGCACTGCCCTAAGTAGGGAAATCAGGGCTTCGGCATGCCATAGGACCCCACTCTGGTTCTCTCTGAAGTCTGTGAAAACCACTCTCTATCATCTCTGGACCTGTCCCCTGCCCATCCAGGCTCCGATGCTCACACAGAGGTCATAGCTCACTACACAGTTTCTTGCCCATCCCAGCCTCACGGCTCAGCCTAGGACCTGAAGCAGAGGTAGGATTGGTATGTCTCGTCTCTCCCACTCTTCTGACCTCTCTGGGCCCATCTGCCTGCACTCTCAACTTGAACAAAATGCTCGTCGTTTACCTCTCAAGTCAGAGTCCTGCATATATATAGGGAAGACGGCACACAGTAACTCCTCATTTGCAAATACAAATGCAAGCAAGCACATAAATGTACATGCTCATGTAGACACAGTTATTTGTATTTTGACAGGAGATGAAGGGGAAAAAAAGACAGGATGAATGCCAAGTAATGACCAGTGAGGCTTCTCAGCTCCTGACCAGACGGGACTACATGACACAGACAGCAACATGAGGGCAGACTGGCATGTCTTGTGAAGGCAAGAGGAAAGAATGAGTACCTGAGAAACCAGTCTTTCTCTGTCCTCTTACCGGGTCTCTTTCACAAGAAGCTTCTGAATGAAGTCCTTGGCCAGGTCGCTTGTCTGGCTGAAGAATTCCTCATCAAAGTCGTAACTCACAGCAGTGATGTTTGCCAGTGTTTCTTGCTTTGTGTCTCCCAGGAAGGGGGACGCTCCACTTAGTCTGGGCACAACAGAGAAAGGAACAGGTAACTGGGGGAGAGGAGATGGAACAGGAGGAAAGGCCTTGGGGAACCTCATCCTGTTTTCTCCAGGCAACCACACAACAGACTCTCAGTGCAGTCCAATTCAGTTCACTTTCTAAAACTCCGACTGAGTACCTGACACAGGGAGTCTGTGTTTAGTGCACTCAGACGCTAAAAGAAGAGAAACAGTCCCTGGCAGAACAAAGTGAAATACAGTAAGGGCAGGGAAGAGGACAGGGACATGGGGGGGCGTGCGCAGCTTCATGGGGCAGCTGAAGCTTGCACTGACTCCATCTTGAAGGCTGTCAGCAGTTAGAGCAGCTCTAGGAAGAACTCCAGAAGTGAGAGGGAGCAACGTGAGCACAGCTTGAGAGGCACAGAAGGTGCAGGATGTCGTCCCCACTGGGTTTGGCAAGGTTGTACCACACAATGATGGCCTGAAGCACCAGCTCTTCATTGAGTACTGGGTACCGCTACTCAGATATGCCCTTGATGTGCACAAACTCCATCTACACATGCCTACCGTGATTAGCCATAGGCTATAAAGAGCAGTCACTCTGGACTCTGTTTCTAGTCCCTCGTTATATTCCCACTTAGCTGAGACCCTCACTGTTTCTATTTGCTAGATAGCGTTCATTCCCATCCCTCTCAGCCTGGGGGACAACAAGGAAAACTCTGAAGCTTTGAGTTTGAATCCACCTCTGCTGCTCATTAACTGTGTAAACTGAGGAAGGTTCTCCACCTTTCTTAGACGCTGTCTCCTCCCTTAAAATGAAGTCAATAACACTTCACGTGATCGACATGAAAAACCAATGTATGTAAAACACGTTGGGCAGCTAGGCATGGCCGTGAATGCAGATTATCCCAGCACTTGGGAGACAGAAGCAGGAGGAAGAGGCCAGCATGAGCTACCTATAGGGAGTCTGTCATAAAAGATCAGGGGGAAACTGGCCATGACAGTGCACACCTTTAATCCCAACACTTGGAAGTGGAGGCAGAGGAAGACTCTATGAATCTGAAACTAATGTGGTCTGTATAGAAAGTTCTACGACAGCTCCGCCCTCCCCCCAAAATCAACGAATGTGGCTGTATCTCAGGAGTAGAGCACTTGCCTAGCATATACAAGGTCTTTGGGGTCAATCCTGAGCACTACAAGAAATAGACAAAAATGCCTTGTATAACCCTGATCCATACTAGTTTTTCTACAATTAATAGTCATTATTTCTGTTATTGATAAAACACAATATCCCTCTAGAATCCCAAATCCACCATTTCCATGAGACCAGAAATTGGTTTGTATCATGTGTGCTGTGTCCCTACCCACCTCTTCTTTCCTGTCTGGGGAGTTGATTTCATTCTGTACCTCCTAGTTCAAACACATCTATCTAGCTGTCTGTTCGTCTATCTACCTACCCATCTCCTGCAATTCCAACCTCCCCCTCTGTGTTCCACAGAAATGTGTTCGAACCTCCAGTGTAACCATGCCCCCACAGGGTGCTACCAGCTGTGTGATGTGTCTCCCTCAGACACAGACAAGCACATCTGACTCTCATCTATATCAGTATCCTGAGTGCCTGGCATGGTGCTTCTGATAGAACAAGTTTTCTTTCTTTCTTTCTTTTGTTTGAGATTTTTTGTTGTTGTTTTGTTTCATTTTGTTTTTCAAGACAGGGTTTCTCTGTGTAGCCCTGGCTGTCCTGGTCGAGGTAGACCAGGCTACCTCGAAGTCATAGAGATCCTCCTGCCTCCGTCTCCTGAGTGCTAGCGCTAGGACTATCGAACAGGTTATAGAATACATTTTCAATGAAGCTTTGTCAGCCAAGTGTGCTTATGCCAGGCCTATAATCCCTTCTCCTGGGGAAGCTGAGGCAGGAATGCCACAAATATAAGGCCAGCTTGGAGAAACTGGTGAGTCTCTATCTCAAAATATAATAATAATAATTAAGCCGTTCCAGCGATAGAATCCAGTGGCGGCACGTTTGCCTAGCTGTGTGCAGTTTCAGTATCTAGTGCCACAAAAATAAACAAGCCAGGGCTACACAGTCAAACAAAACAAAACAATACAAAATAAAATAAATCTCATCAAGGTCAAGGAGCCATAAGAAGACTACGCTGTAGAATTCCTTAAGAGTTCAACGTGAAAACTGGAATTCAAAAAAAAAAAAAAAAAAAAAAAAAAAACCTCACAAGATTTAAGAATATATGACAAATTCCTCTGACTCTGGAATGGACCTTGGCCTTGGCTTTACACTAGATGTAGCTGGGTATTTAAGAGGCAGAGGCATGGCCCCACCCTAGTGAGTCTAATTTAATGGATGCAGGGTGAGGCCGGGCTAAGGCCCATATTAAGAAATCTACTGTGCAGCCAGGGTTGAAGGCCTCAGCAGCCGCTGGAGGAATCACAGTGCAACTGGACAGAACTCCCAGTCTGTGCTGCTGAGAACAATCCCTCAGCTGGCCTTGGTTCTCACTCTGAAAATGCTCTGAACATGGCATTCTCCATGTGGACAATGAGAGGGCAATGTCTGGGAAGCACTGAGGGACTGAGTCTACCCTGCCCCATGAGCCAAACAGGGCCTAGGAAGCTTGTACAACATGGCATGGCTTATTCCTGCCCTACTTCCTGTGGCAGGAAGTCTGTGATTCCTATTTCTCTGATAAGAAAAACAAATCCAAAGGTTAAATACCTGTCTGTGACCACACAAATGAAAAGAGTCAGTACTGGTATCCTGCCCCATATGAGGCCTACTCCACACACACACACACACACACACCTATGCAGGAAAAGAAAGGAGAAGGAAAGAGAGTGTGAGAGGGAAGAAACAAGGCCTGGGGATGAGATGAGAAGAAAGAGCGCAGGTACAAGCGCCTTCAGGGCTGTCACAAGGATTCTTCTGGTAAAGCAAGTGTGGAAAGCTGAGCACAGCAGCCCTAGCTTGACACAGAGAAATTTAGCCGTGGGCTGTGTACACAGCCTGGGAGGGCTGCTCTCCCAGACTCCTAACCCTGCTCAAGTTATGAAGTAGAGGTCAGAGCACTCTCCCTGAGGTGCTGTGTGGACCAGACATGGCTACTGCTGTCTCCCTGCCCTCTCTCACTCCTCCTGAGCTAAGCAGGGCTGCAGCCCAAGGCTGGAGATACTCACAGGATGTAGGTGATGACGCCGATGCTCCTGCAAAGGAGAATGGTGTCAGAGCTGTGTGGTTCCAACCTCAAACCCCCAAGGGGGGTTTATCCCCACACAGGGATAAAAAGGCACTTTCTTCCCAAGCTGGCCCCTGAATGCCCTTTCAAGCTCCCCACCCCCACTTTACTCTGCAACAGACAGGGATGCATTTAGAATCCTCACTCTCTTCCCATTGGGTCACGGACCCAAATTCAAGATCTGACATGTGTTATTTGCAGACTTTGTCTTGGGGGCATGTCCCTTACACTCTGAGCCCACTTTCCTTATAAAATGAGAGCAATTAATGATTAGGACAACCTCCCAGGACTGCTGGCAGGGTCTTAGAGAGCCAAGTCACGAACTGGGCCAACTGCAAAGCAGTGTTCAAATAAAATTCGCAAAGAACTGATCACAGCAGTGCTGCTAGGCCAGCACATGCCTAGGATACAGGATGCTCTCGTGGAACGCTTGATGGATTGGCCAGTGGAGCTCAATTTACTATCATCCAGACCAGCTGAGGCAGGTCCAGATAAGCTCGCACTTGCCTCAGCCCCTCCCCTGCTGACCAAGCTCTAACTGGTCACAGATCCCAGCCTCACTGTCTCCCAGCAGCATGTCTTGTTCCTTTTGCACTGCAGACTAGGACATTAAGAAATGTGAGTGTGAGGGAAGGGCTTAAGCAAGGGCGTGCCACCTAAAAGGGGGCCAGGCCACCACTTACCACATGTCGGCCTCCAGTCCCAGCGGCTCATAGTTCACGATTTCTGGAGCTGAAAGAAGTCATGTTTGGGAGTCAAGATGGGCTAGAGATGAGAGGAGACGGTTCTAGGGAATGCTAAACTATTTTATGCCAGATGTCTCCATCCTGACTCTCCAATAGGGAGGAAGGAATATTGGAACAGCAGAAGGAATGATCTGGATGTAGGTGATCTGGATCAGGTGATTAGTTCATGAGAGTAGAACCTTCAGGAAGAAAGTCAGGCCCAAGGGATCGTGTTCTCTCCTTCCATGTGACAGCAGAGGAAGACACTGGGATATATGTGAAAAGGTCTCTCCCCAGACACCAGGCCCACTGACACCATCACCCAAGACTCTCAACCATCAGGACTGTGGTCAATGATTCTACTGTTTATAACCTATCCAGTCAAGGTGTTTGGTTACAGTAGCCTGAACAGGGTAAGATATGAGTTCCCTCTAATCTGGGAGAAACCACTCATGAACAAGGAGGAGGAAAAAGGATAGTACAAAGGAAGAGGAATGTGGGAAGAAGGTTCAGGAAGAAGACATGGAGGCCTGCTGACCATGTCATGGGGGCATGTCCCACATGACCTGCTGTGGGAACTCTGGTGGACAGAGGCTCCAGATAGTTCCACTGCAGAGTGGTAATGGGGAAGAAGGCAGAGAGGGGCTTCCTCTTCCTCTGAGTCCTGACAGACAGGTGACTTCATCTGAGGACATCTTGGGGGGGGGGCACTGAGGTAAGAATATAAGCCTGAAGGGATGTCAAACATGCCAGGAGACAGCCAGCTGAAGGGGAGGAGAGTGGGCCAAGCATCAGATTTGAAGCCATTAAACACACTAGTGGAAGCAGAAACTGAGCCAAAGATAAGGTGGGTGACCAAGAGAGGGTCCAGAGTAGGAGAGAGGAGTCTGTCAAATAGACAAGAGAATGACATGCTGCCCAGAGGGCACCAAGGTCCTGAAAGCCAATGCTCAATTCCACACCCGCTTTGTCCAAGACTTTTAAGAATGTGGGCGCAAAGAGGATGCAATAATGGTAGGACCTCACAACAGAAGGAGGGCGCTCTGCTAAGTGTTAAGGCAGGAAGGAGAGCATGGGAAGGACGGAGGCTTTTACCCAGAACACCATCTAAACCAAAGCACCTCTAGGGTAAGACTGACAAGCACACACCTACACCGGCTTTGACTTATTTTCCTGGCTTTTCAAAAATGTGTCAGGATGCATTTGAAACTCTATCTCTTGATTACTTTTGCTTGCTTCATCCATGACCTTCTGTTTTCACCACTGTATAATAGTTTAACATCTGCTGTGTTACTGTCCATCTGCATCCAGTCATTTTTCTCTCAGAGATCACTTGAATGGTTTCCAGTCTCATTACTGGACTGGTACAATAAGGTAAGTGCAGAACTTGAGCGTACATACTATCTATCTATCTATCTATCTATCTACCTACCTATCTCTATCTATCTATCTATCTATCTATCTATCTATCTATCTATCTATCTATCTATTTGTTGTTGTTGTTTTTCAAGACAGGGCTTCTCTGTGTAGCCTTGGCTGTCCTGAAACTTGCTCTGTGGACCACGCTGGCCTCGAACTCAGAACACCTGCTTCTGCCTCCTGAGTGCTAGGATTAAAAGTGTGCTTCAACCACCAGCTGGCCAAGAATTTTTTTTTTTTCAAAGTAAGAGAGCCAAGGTCTCACTATACAGCCGATGCTGGCCTCTAACTCAATAATCTTCCTGTTTCAGATTACTTAGTTAGAAACATCTATTTTGTTTTTCAGACAGGAACTTATGTAGTACAGGCTGGACTCAAATTCTCTGTGTAGCTTATCATGGCCTTGAACTACAGATCCTCCTGTTTCTACCTCCCAATTACTGAGATTCTGAGATTACTACTCATATACTGTATCAGCATGCCCAACACCCAAGTCATTTTCACACAGCAACTTGACATCGATTTCACATCATTTCTCTAGGAATTTATTCTCTCTCTCTGTGCGTGTGTGTGTGTGTGTGTGTGTGTGTGTGTGTGTGTGTGTCTTGTTCACCCTATGCATGGCTGGCTTGGCCCATCAGCTCCTGGGGACTCCATTGTCTGCATCTCATCCTGCTGTAGAAACTCTGAGACCCACAGCCCTGCCCCTGGCTTTCACCGTGTTCTGGGGACTCAAACTGAGATCACACAGGCAGTGGCAAGTGCCTTACCCACCGTTTTCTCCTCAGCCCGAGGAAATTAATCTCATTGCATCTTACTGAGAGGCAGGCTGTGGCACGTGGCTACATACTGAATTTCTTTTTGATGGTTTATTTTTATTTCTAATTCTGTACAGATGTGTGTTTCTGTGTTGGGGTGGGGTATGAACATGTGAGTGGAGGTCCCCACAAAAGCCAGAAGAAGGTTTTGGGCCCTCTGGAGCTGGAGTTACAGATGATTGTGAGCCATCTGCCATGGGTGCTGGATGCTGAATCTGCAAGAGTATGCCCTTTTAACCACTGAGCCACCGCTCCAGCCCTAAAGTTCTAGCTAGTTCTCTCAAATTTTGCCTGGTATTTTCTTTCTTTTTTTTTTTTTTTTGAGACAAGGTTTGGCCTGGACCGAGGTACCTGATGGAAACAATAATTTAAGCTGCTTTTTGAAGAGGCCATTCTCTCCATCTCTGAAACACTAATTCCCACGGAAGAGAAACAGTGGGCTGGTTTTCAACTTTCATTCCTTTCCTCTCTGCAGAGGGATTTTCTTGTGATCCTCCAACCTCTGGACCAGGTCCCACGGGGGAATTTCTAGGGTGTAGGACAGAGAGGGCTGGAACAAAGGGTGAGAGGAACAGAGGAAGGGAGCAAGGCCAGGGCCCCGCCTGAGCTGGCAGCTCCAATGCGTGAGTGGAGGCAGGCTCCCGGGAGAGGCAGGTGGTGAATCTGGCACCTGGCAGATAACTGCTCTTACCATTTCAGGAAATTAGAAGCTACTTCAGAGAGAGGAATTTGTGTGGGGAGTCAAGACAGGGAGGTGATTTTTAAATCTGCACAATAAACTCCTTCAAAAGTAAATGGTGAAGCCAGTTCTGGGCAATTTTAACTCAGAGGCCTCTGGCCACACCAGGCCAATGTGGCAGAGTGTCCCAGTGGGCACACTCAAAGCCCATGCCTGTCTCCTCACCCAAGGCCTCCCAAGACAATTCCTTCTCAACCCTTCTGCTTCTAACAAGTATCCCAAAGCATCATTTTTTCAGCCCATATATGAGGACGGATTGTTCCTAGAATTCCACCCCTCCTGTGTGTGTGGAGTGTGTGTGGGTGTGTGTGCACATTCATGCAGGCAAGAGGACAACCTTGGCTATTGCTCCAAGTTGGCTCAGCTGGCTAGCCAGTGAACCCAGTTTCTGCCTCCCCAGCTCTGGGATTATAAGCAGGCACAACTACTCTTGGCTCCCTTAGTACAGATTCTGGACCTTGAACTCAGGTCTGAACTCTCCCTAGCCCCAACACCAGACTGAGAGAAAAACAGTCCCAAAACTCACCAACAAATTCCGGTGTCCCAAAAATGTTTTTAAATTCAACTCCATCTTCTATTTCGTGAGCCAGGCCAAAGTCAATCAGCTTGATGTGTGGAATGGGAATATTCTTGTCTAACAACATAATGTTTTCTGGCTGGAGAACAAAACAGAAAGAAGGCAAGATAGTAATTAAAGTGTTGTTTTGTGTTTTTTCTTATGGGTTAGGGTGGGGCTTCATGTTCTTTTGCCAGGTATGGGGGAGAGACTAAAACGGCCAACTTCTTGTTTTTGTGTCCTAGGTCTTCTGTGAACTCAAACCCAGCACCAAGGGTTAAGGGTCAGCTTTTACTAACCCTGTACTGACAGCAAAACTAGAGAACTTGGCTCTTCTTTCCCACCTGCCTCTGAATGGAAGATCCCTTCAATGTGATGCCCGGCTTCCTCATCTGTTAGGTGGATCAGTCGAATAGCTGCAGCCTCTCCTATGGCAAAGCCACCACCCTGCCTGAGTGTGATGAAAGCATGGGTTTCCGCTGGGTTTACACAAGGCTTGCTAGCCTTGACTGACTGTGAGACCTCCCTCTCTTTCTCTGGCCGGCCAGCTTCCTGTTGACTTTCTTTGAGACTAACCAATTTCTCTCTGTGTGTTTAACTAATTTTGGCTTTTGGCAGGACACAGGAAAAAAAAATGCACCTGATTTCCAGGGAAAATACCAGCTGCTCAAGCTATTTCCGGCCCTGAAACAGCTGTTGGCCTGACACAACAATGCAGACTTGGCCGAGAGAAAGGAGACACTGACAAGACCCTCAGAGTCCTCTCGTCATCCCTCTCCCAACTCCCAAGGGATCTGGGACAGGGTCTGAGGTCTGCTCTCTTCATTCCCATCCAAGTCCCCAGATGAGACAGGGAATGGGCAGGTCCATTTGCTTAGCCATCTTTTCTCCCCTCTGCCAATGACTGTCTTAGATTCCATTTAAATTGTACTGTCCTGAAAACTTCAGCCACATAAACCCTTATATGCAGCATTCATATCCCCAAAGTATAAAAGGCCCATCAGCTGATGAGATAGCATGTAACATACCCACACCACATATAATATTCACATGGAAAGACTTACTTGTTTTCTGTCTGGAGACCGAATCCAGGGCCTTACTTATGTGAGGTAGGTGCTCTTACCAGACCTTAGAATACTATTTGATTATAAAAACGGAATGAAACAAATAAAAAGATAAAAGGGAATTAAGTATCAATCTATGTTACAATGTATATAAGCCCCGAAAATGTTTCACTGACCAGGTGTCATGTCATGTGCCTGAACTCCTAGTACCTGGGGTACTAAGAAGGAAGATGGAAGTGAATTTGAGGTCAGCCTGGGCTACATCTTCAGTCTCTTCCAAAAGAAGGAGGAGGAGGAGGAAAGGGAGGAGAGGAGAAAGAAAACATGCCAAAAGAGAGAAGTATACACAAAAGGACACATAATGATGTGAGTTCAATCCTTAGGACCCACATGGTGGAAAGGAGAGACCGGACTACAGCAAGCTGATCCCTGACCTCCACGTGCTCCCTGCTCAGGTACACACATAAAAATGTAATAAAAATATTTCTTAAAAAGATTGGGGAGTCGGGCAGTGGTGGCACAATGGATTTCTGTGATTTCGAGGCCAGCCTGGTCTATAGAGGGAGTTCTAGTACAGCGGGACTACACAGAGAAACCCTGTCTTGAAAATCAAACAACATCAACAAAAGACTGGGGAACAGGTAGGGACTGCTAATAAATGTGTGGTTTCCTGGGGAGGGGGGTGATAAATATATTCTAAATTTAAGTCTAAAACTGCACTGTGAATGATTGTGCCTTTGGTTATAAAATCTATAATTTACACACAGCAAGTGCTGGCTTGTGTCATATGTGGACTACAACTCAGAAAGGCTGTTACCCAAATAAAGATGTTCAGGGGGACCGGAAGCCCCGACCTCAGAACTGGGGAGTTCCTGCCTTGCCATAATGGCTGATGACTGTCCACCTTGTGCCTCTGCTTTCATGTCTGTCTCCCCCTGGAGGCCCTCCAGGCCACCTGCCCCCAGCACAATCCCAACTGGGTTTACACATCATGCTCAAACTTTCTCTCCCTGGAAGACGTTCCTGACAGCCCTACCCTACCTGTCTGTGAGCAAACCTTGGTCAATCCTAGGCGACTGTTTGTTCTGCTCTTATTAGGACATCTGGCTCTGTCTCCAGTCCAGAAGTCCTTGCTGTCCTTCCTGACTCACCGGAGGAGCTATCCTCGACTGGAGGGAAAACTCAGATCTTGCAATGCTCTCCTACCCCAAATGCTGTGTGGATGCCTCACGGTGACAAACTGGGAATGGCCCTAACTCCTAGCTAAGTTCATACAGAATGGTCTAGTCACCCCTGCAATACACACACACACACGAGCACACACACGAGCACGCACACGCACAGCCCCCCAGGCATCTGTGGATCCCTGAAATAACCGTGACCTCCTATCACCACAGCTAGAGACTTATACTCCAGGGAGCTAAGGCCCTCCCTTACAATTTTTCCACTTTTTTTTTTTTTTTTGGTTTGTTTAAATAACACGTTTCCTTTTGCATTTTAAAAGCTTGTTTATTTTACTTCCCCTCTGGAGATTACTCTCAACTTTATTTTGAAAATGTGTCAAAGTCCTTTCCCAAGGCGGATCAGATTTTTAGCCTCTGCTGAAGGGAGTATGAGGGCAGGTAGGGTCAGGAGACAAGCTCCAGGCAGGTGGCCCCATTCCAGTGTCCCTGGCCCAGCACTCCGGTGGCTGCCACAGGAGCGCTACGGTATTCCCTGCACTGAGACACATCCGCCCTTCCATCCACGGCCTCCCTGCCGGGCAGCTTCTCTTCTATTCTACACACATCAGTGGCCGCCTTGTTTGGTGCTTCTGCAAGCATGAGGCCCCAAGCCCGCTCTTGGGCTAAGGTTCGAGGTCCTAGGCTATCCTAACTCCCTCAGCCCAGAACCCAGCACAGCATAATGATGCAATGGGAGCCATGGGCCACAGAGATGGACACCCCAGAACTGGAGAAGGGCTACAGAGCAGCAGAGATGAGGCATCAAAGGACTGAGGCTGAAATCTCTAGGACAGTGCCACCTTGAGAGAAGAGACAGCCCCTGGCCCTGTAGCTCACATCTGTAGCTCGAGGTGCCAAGGAAATGGCTTGGTCACTGGCTTGGAAGGATGGCAGGAGACTACATTTCTTACCAGAGACCCATCTGTTTCTAGCTGTGCCTGGATCAGGGATACTGAGAGCACTTTCCCCTGCCCTGCCGCCTCCCCAAAGATGGTGATGCCCATTTATATTTCAATTAAGATAGCCAGTCTCCCCAAAACGTCCTTCCTGATGGCCCCTCCTTTCCCAGCTCCAAACTCCCCCGCACTTCCCCATTATAGCCTTCCTTTAGCCACTCATTCCAAAGCTAGAGCTCCTCTGGTTATTTGTCCGTCTCCAGTGGGCTTCAAGCTTCCTGAGCAATTTGTTCTAGCATCTCCCAGAGCTCAAGATAGAGCCTGGCAGCCACCATGTGCTCAGTAAGTGAGAAGACAAGAACCATTTATTAAGCCAATGCAATATGCAACACCTAGGGCCAACCAAACACAAGGTATACTTTATCCCTCACTCAACTGCCTCAAGCGGTGTTATTGTCCCTTTCCTGCTGGGGTGGGGGGGAAGCCAAGACATCAGCCAAGGGACACAGGGATTTAAGCATTTATCTGTCATAAAGCTCTTGAGCCACCCTCGAGACCAGTGGTTCTCAACCTTCCTGATGCCGTGACCCTTTAATACAGTTCCTCACATTGTGGTGACACCCCCAACCATAAAAGAATTTGTTGCTACTTCGTAATTGTAATTTTGCTGTTATGTAAATATCTGGTATTCAGGATAGCTGCTGTGTGAACCCTGTGGAAGGGCTTCAGCGCCCAAAGGGGTCGAGATAACATCGGTTGGGAGCCACTTCTGCAGACTAAGCCAGCCCTCTCCCTGCTTGAGCTGGGAAAGCCTTGCCGCTTAGCGCTTAGCGCCTGGAGCAGGCCCTACCTGCCGCCACAGGATGCCTTTTCCTCTGCTTCTTAGACCTTCAAGAGCCATGAGTCCAGCACCCTCATCTAGACAAGAGAACTGCAGAGAGTGGGGGAGTACTTGGCTCAGTGCTTAAAAACCCCGTTAGAGGACCTGGGTTCAGTCCTCAGCACTAATGTCAAGCTGGTCACAACAGCCTGTGACTCTAGCTCCAGGGGACCTGACATCTTCTTCTGGCTTCCAAAGACACTTGCATACATGTGGTATCATACACACAGACCTACACATAAATAAAAATGCAAAGCGGCGAGTCCTAGGGGGAGAAGACCCAAGCTGGGTACACACAAAGCACGGCCTACGGGGCTCAGCCTGGGAGGTGACCTTGTGGCTGCTGGATGACTCTGCTGAGGGATGAGGCCTGGGACTCTTGTTCTCACCTCACCAGCTACTCAGTGGGCTACCTGGATTAGATGCCTGGATACTCAGACATGCCCTGACTGGACACAGACAGGCCATTGGCTCTCTGCCACCAAATGATATTGCTTCTTCCAGGCCACCAAGGTATTTGGGCCAGAGAACATCCGGCCCCTTATCTGGAGTTTTCACAAGGCTCCCTTCCGCTGTCTTGGCCTCCAGCAACAGCCTGACCATTTCCAGGGGTCAGAGAGAGACTCGTGTCAGCGCTCTACGAGGTCCTTGCAGCCACCCCAAGAGATAGGTGCTGCTGGCATTTCCATGTCACAGAGGCGGGGAAACTGAGGCCCAGAGACCTAAAACACTCACCCAGAGCCCATCCGCTCATGAAAGCAGGAGAGCTTCCCTGGAAGTCCAGCTCCTAGTCTTGTTAAATATACTAGCGGTCCCAGGGACCATCAAGAGCTCATTCTGATGACTGAGGCGCTCACATCCCTGCACCAGCCCCACCCTATCCCCAGTTGCCCTTTCAGCCTTTCGGGGCCCCACACCTGGACCCACTCTCATTCCCCACAGGTGGGTATCACCACCTCAGACACCTCAGATCACGCCTGGTCCATCCTTGGATGCAGCTCCATTCTTTTTTAAGATTTTATTTAACATTCATGCAT